AACTACTCATAGACCAGGGGGTTTCAATCTTTTAGATGCCATGATGGACCCCCAATATGATCATTGCATTACTGCATATTGCATTAAATTGTAATTTAATTAAGTTTGTGATTTACGGTTCTTAAAAAGCACAGTATGCAGTGTATCACACAGGGAAGTTGGTCAACACTGCTTTCTGTTCAGCTGGAGTGAAAACTCCATAATTGACAGACAATTCAATTGCACAAGACTGGAAAACTTAAACCAAAAGTTTCAAAAATGGCAACACCCTTTCACAGACATTGTAACATGATTTGCTACATTATTATTATAGAAAGCAACTACAGACCTAACGTTACATGTCAAGACGGTCAACACGCGTTCAGCAGACTTATAAAGAATAGTGTTATTCTAGTTGAGGATTCACAATGAACAACATTGTGATAATAACTGTTGCAAAGACATAGTCTCTGTCCCTTAACGTTAGAGCATATAAATAAGCACTAAGTTTCAAATGATAGTGCTGTGTCTGTTACCTTCAAGTTAACGTTACTCAGATACTATCATTAACATATTAGAGACAATTTAAAAAGACAACCTCCTGACGAGGTTGAAATGAAACACATTTTACCAGAACAGGTCATTCGTTCATAAGTTAACTGTTAATATGTTACATTTGGTGCTGAAAACAGCAACACAAGAACAGCATTAGCATTAGCTGACTCACTGTGTCCGTTTAATCGAAATAGAAATAAATAAATGAATCCCACGTTTACAATATCTGCTGGAACAACGTCCAAACAAAGACAGAGATGTGTTTAAAATGTAAAAATGCTCGTATTCGTTTTACTTACAGAGGAACCGGGCAAACAACCTGCTATGAGACATCTTCGGTCATTCACCAATGACACCGGACAGACATGGACCTAAACGTCAGTATACATAGTAGTCCTGCTAGATGCCTGAAGAAATATAGTCGCCTTACATTTTTTACAGTCTATGGGTAACAGACATCTAAACACACTATAGCATTATATGCGATTTTAGAAATAAATGTGAATTAATCCATGAAAACGGGCATTATTTGCTTTAAAACGCAAGGAATTCTGGACAACGTTGTTCTACATAATATAATATAATAATATAATATAATATAATAATAGCATTACATTATTTTGATTATTTGCAGTATACACCACTGAAAGAAAGTGTATTACAGTTTTTCTCAGTCGCTTTGGTACATTTCTCACTGCACTATTTACATTTGCACAACAGTTAGTTCAACCTCAACCTAGTTCAACCACAACAGTTAGTTCAATATTTAGTCATTTGTGAACATCATAATTGCAGTTTCTCATTCGATCCAATTGCAAATGCTTTTGGACAGTTAGTTCAATATTTAGTCATTTGTGAACATCATAATTGCAGTTTCTCATTCGATCCAATTGCAAATGCTTTTGGACATGCATCAATTAATTTCATACAACTCTGCTGTTTTATAACATTATCATTTACTTATGGAGCCCGTTCTCATCCCAAAGCGCCATATAAGACGCTTTTGCAAAAGCGTAAATATCCAACGCACATGGCACTCTTTAACGTGAAATGAGACGCAGATATATTTGGGCAGAAGGCGCCCCCTAGTGGTCTAACCCTTACCCTACACCATACCTAAACTTAACCATTAACCGAAGCGTCTCATTAGACGTTAAAGGGTGCCATGTGCGTTGGATATTTACGCTTTTGCAAAAGCGTCCTATATGGCGCTTTGGGATGATTTACTTATGTCATGTCAGTCAAAATTAAATACATAGCTGTTGTTAAAATTTGTCAAAATTTATCACCTTTCACAGATGAGAAGGGATGTGCATGAATGATTTACAGTAGGCTACAGTGTATGCTGTATGTTCAGTTCCAATATGTACTGGAGTATTGTTTACAGTTGTGCACACCCTACCCAAAGGGAGTTTATGTTTGTTGTATAAGGGTGTTTTTTTTTTTTTTTCTTTCTTTTGCACAATGCTGTGAACAAATTAGAATTGCAGTAAAAATGTGAAACAAACATATTCAGTGTCTTGTACTTAATTACCTCACTAAAGACATTTGTACTTTTACTGTAGTTTTCAAATGTCTGTGTGCAAATAGTATATAATGCTGTATTGGGCAATTTCAGGTGTCATCAAGATCTGACTTTTTTGCAATTATAGAGTAAACTGTCATAATGAAAACATGACAAAGCCATCTTGCTCATAAACACTGGTGTCAGGACTTTTATCTTGATGACTCTGACACTTTCATTGACATAAATAGTTCCTTTTGAGGAATGTGCTATCCATTTTGAGCAAGTCACACGCTTAGGTTATCAACTAGGTTTAGGTTTTGCGGTTTGTGCTAACTGTTTTGAGAACTGCATTAACTGTTGTAAATAGTGAAATGCACCAAAGCGACAGAGAATAACTGTTATTTAAATGTTATTTATAGTTGAAAACAATACTTTTTTTTTCTTCTTTTAAATTTTGTCATTTTTGTGAGGGGGTTAGAAATAAGAAATAAAAGAAATAAGAAGACAGAACGAGACAAATTTAGCCGTCTAGCCCATAGACAGAAGTGGACAGAGACACCTCATTGGAACTACATTGAGACAAGTGAAGCCAGTTTTTGGCAATTTTTTTAGCACTTCCGTTCCTGACGCCATAGGCGTCATTTACGGGGGGGAGGGGTGGGACATGTCCCCACCACTTTTTGCCAGGGTCGATTTTGTCCCCACCACTTTTAAAACATCTCGCGGCACAGATGTACCAATACAAATAAAACATTTCCAGTTAACAACATTCGTTTCATTTGTTTGTTAAATAACAGGCGATCTAGCCCTGAAACGTGTCGTCTTCTCTCGGAAGCACGCTTCAATCCGTTGCGGAGATTCGTTCCGATGAAATCACAATTTCAAAATGCACACAAACGTGTCCCTCTTTCTCATGGGTTCTAATCCGCTCTCGTATTTTTTTTCCCCCTCATCAAAACATATACAACCACTGATAAACATTATCAATTCAACCACTGATAAACATTATTGGTTTTGATGAGGGGAAAAAAAAAACTATATACAAGTGCGGATTAGAACCTCGAACCTCCCGAGTCCCGACACGCTAGGCAAAAATTGTACCTCTGGACCATCACTATACATATGCAATAAAGGGCGTATATACTCTATATAGTCACTATACTCGGACATTGTGCTCATTTTTATTTATGTACATCAGGAAGCTACAGGACATCGTCTTTCAAAACATGACCTACTCGAAAGAGAAAAAAAGAATGAATGCGTCATTGTACCCAGCACTTTTGAAAACACCCTTCTGATATGTCTCTGTCCCCAGCACATTTCAAACCAAACTGACGCCCATGCCTGACGCGCAGACTCAAACCGACTCAAACAGAGCTTGACGACGTAGATGTGACGTGAGCAACCCGTCTGTCTTCTAGTGGCTGTGGCATGAGAAATCTGAATCATTCCCTTCCGAAACATGTACAGGCGGAGAGTGTGAGTAGGAGCTGTCCATAGGAGCAGGAGAAAATTTTGCTAGGTATTCTGATTAATTATTTTGTAATTTTGCCTCCACGTTTCCTCGATTGCCCGCGAGCTTCTCCTCCTGTCCATACGATAATCTCTCTACTGTGCGACAGAGAGTCGCTTGGTTATGACGCAATCGTTAGCCTACTTTCACTAAAACTGCTTCTACGGGGCCATAACATAGGCTAAGCTAAAAGGTAATGGAGCATTTTATACATTGTCGTGTTTCTTAGAAGTAAATAAAGGACAAATGGGGTCTTCAAATGCCTCAGATGTAAAGTTATTTGCAAAATGAATGGGAGTCAATGGAAAGGCTAACGCAAGTGAAGTTCTGCTACAAGATGGCAGCTCCCACGAGGATTACCCCCCTTGGCCTTGCCCCATAGACTCCCATTCATTTTGCACTCGGACGATCGCCCCAAGTGGAACTCTGGTGGAACTACAACCAAAATTCAGTACAATAGGACTTTATAGTGTGCCGAAGTGATGACATCACTTTGTTGGACAACTCAGAAGTTATATTAGCTTTGCATGGGTTCCCTTCATCAAAAAGCTATGCTGAGCTTTCCATAGACTTTTGGAAAATCGCAAAAAAAAAAAAAAAAAGATCTGTGTTCAACAAAGAGTTGTGACCCTTACACGTTTTGTCTATCAAGATAATCTTTACAAGTTAATCTAAAATGTATACATTTTGAAGCCTAAGTTTTAAAAAAACACAAGGAGACACAATAAAGTTTAAAAAACACACGCAGGTTATAACTGGTGTGTTTTATGCCATAGATCAAAACGTGAAAATATTTAGAAGCTTTGTTCACCACAGACCTTATTTCAGGCGATTTAGCAAAATACCATTCAAAAATCGCATAGACTTTAGAGCGAGGAAACCGGGAGTGCTAAAATGCTAACTCATTTCTGTGTTTTGGCCTACAAAGTGACGTGATAACTTCGGCACTCCAGGCTTTCCGTCGACTGGCTTTGTCTTTACTTTCTTTTGTAGAAGGAGAGGGATCTGGACAATATCAAACAAAGACTATATAATTAATAAAGTTAGAGATGTATCCTTTCAAATATCACAGAGCACTGTTAAACAATTATTCGGATTAATTAATTTTTGCATATTTTTTAGCTTACATACTTTTTTGTAGTGTGTTTTAGATAGATTTCTCTAACATTCCGTCAAGAAACTCCCTTTTTTTTTTTTTTTTTTTCAATTTGAGTTTCATCCATGGTTTCATCAAAGTCAGTATTAAAAGCTGAAAGCAAAGCAAGTGGCGCATGGCTCTGAAGTGGCGCGGTGAGAGACGAGCCAATCACGCTCAACCAACTCTGCAGATGGTGATTGGTTGACGCTTTTACGGGGCGTGGTACACTTACGCTTATTCATATTCAAAACTACGTATATTCTTCCAGCTTTGAATGGTCCCTCTTTAAGAGCAAACGGAAACGACTACGCAAGTGCACTAACGCGATGACGTAGAACGTTTCAGGAACTATCCTCCTGTTCGGTCTCTCAATTAGAAGCGCACAAAGTCATTCAAGATGGTGTTAGTAAATATCTCCAGGATTATTAAGATACAACTTCCAGCCTACCTCAAGAAACTGCCCCTTCCAGAAACAATCGGAGATTTTGCGCGACTGACAGGTAACTTATGTGTTTCATCATGTCACAAGCGTAGGTGGAAAGTTACGCGCGCATGCCTGCATAGAAAGCGTGATGTAAGTTATGTGTCTATGTTTTGCATCTATTGAACATTAAAATAACGCATCAATAAGTAATTGGTTGCCCACACGTGTTTCTGGGTAGGAAAAATACATGTTTTTGTATGAACTTTCACCTATTTTCATACAATTGCATGAGGAGATTCTCAAGAGGCAGAGGTTTTTTCAAGTGATTCTATTTTTATAAACAAAGTAACGTTAACGACCAGTGTGTGTCTATTTTAGAAATGTGTGAAGAACAAAACATGCCTTTAAGAGACATGATTTAGTGTAGTATTATAGGTAATGGCACAAGAAATGCAGAAATATTTGCATCCTTAAGTTAAATATGTTAAAGTTGTTTGTACCGACACCAACAATGAGCAATCATCAGGGTCCAACAACTGTCATTGTGTAATGCAATAGTTAATCTATAATTTACTTGAGAGCAAATATAAAAAGTGTATTAATATTCACTGAATATTACTTTATCTGACTGACATGCACTTATTTTTCCACTGTAAGCAGAAGAGCTTGTTGTCATTAAGTATATAATAACTTCTAACACTGTGTCTCAGTTTCAGAGTGGTTGCGGCTTCTGCCATTATTGGGGATTTTGGCTCTCTTGGGTTATCTGACCATCCGGCCCTTCCTGCCCAAGAAGAAAAAGCAAAGAGACAGTCTAATAAATCTGAAGATCCAAAAAGAAAACCCTAAAGTGGTGAACGAGATCGACATAGAGGACCTGAGGACTCCAAATGTTTGTTACTGTCGCTGCTGGCGATCTAAAACGGTAGGAATGCCTGAGAGAAAAAAAACCCCAATCAAATCAAAACATGCTGTAACAGCACCAAAGGGAAATGAACATAGAACAACTAAATTCTGACATATTGGCACGAAACAAAACCTTGATTAACATTATACTTGGAGCTTTGGGGGAATATATATATATACACACACACACACACGCCTACGTATGTTCCCCAAAGCTCCAAGTAATTAATCAAGGTTTTGTTTTGTGCCAATACGTCAGAATTTAGTTGTTATATATATAAGTAATAAAAAATGTATGATATGAGTCCTTTTCGACTGTTAATTTGTGTTGGAAAATGTGTTATTTTCAGCTTCCTCTTTGAGAGTGTGAGTTTTGTCAAAAGTCTAAGAGCCCCTGTCACTATGGCACTTAATGTGTTCTTTCTTATCTTGCAGTTTCCTGTTTGCGATAAATCGCACATAAAGCATAATGAGCTGACGGGGGACAACGTTGGTCCACTTATTCTTAAGAAGAAGACTCTGTAGCCCACCTGTTTTGGCTCGGAGTGGTAATTGTTTTTTTTTTAATGCCTATTTTTCTCCACAGAAAAACTTACTGTAGTTGTTCTTATCCCAAATTGTTTCCAAATTATTATGTAGAAACAGAGCTGTAAATTCGGACTATAATGATATTGTGGTTGATTCAAAGAGATTAATTATTAATGATTTACGTTTTGTTACATCATTGTGTGTTTATTGTGTGTGTGGCAAATGTAGTTTGACTTTTGAGTGCAATATAATAGGACCATAAGGAAAAATGGCGGTTATCATCGCTAATCAATCTTTGTGGCCATGAAAGTGTCTTTTCCAAACTTAATCTACATCTAGATTCAGTTTTAACTAAGTTGCCTTTTATGTGCGTTTGACATTTTGTAAGACAACAACAAATCATACTTTTGACTTTTCAATGTGAAGTACATTAGGATTTGCCTTTGCTTTTCGTTTTCTACAGCATTATTTCTAAACCAACAATAGTTCTAAAATGTTTGCTAAATTATTTTAACATTTTCAAGTGCAAGATACTAAATTTTACTTTTGTTCGTATACCTACAGACATTTCCCGTTGCCTTTTGGTCACAGCTATTGTCACAAATCATTCATATATTACAAAATTTACCATAATGTTACAAAGAAATGTGCCATCTTTTCTCTGTCCACCTGAACCAACATGCTGCGACAATACAATTCATAGTACAATTCATGCCATTCTTCATATTCAAAGTTATAAATAGTTTGACAATCCCAATGTTTCTTTCTTGTGCCACTTGGTTTTGTATTTGATGGCTCTTGTTCATAGATGTTTTCATAAAAAATACATTTGTATGATAACTGGAATGTGCCTAATAACTTTTATAAAATAAAAGGTAACCAAACTTGTTTTATCTTCCTGAAAATGATTTGTGTGACTGATGAATGTGAGCTGTGATGTAACAGTCTATTTATTTCTTCCGTGTACTTTTCCTAAAACACACAATAGTGCAACTACACTGATGCACCATGTCTTTAAAGTAACAGTGATGCTTATTTGCATCTGTTTTGCCTTAGATGATATATCAAGATATGCTTCCAAAATGCAAGCAGGGGGTTTTGCCTTTCATTTACTAACAAGGCATGTCTTTCATTTTCTGCAGCAATACATTGAATAAATTAAAAAAACTACACATACACCATACAATATAAAAATAAAAGTCTAATACGCTTAACAGTAGTCATTTAATAGCTTAAAGTAAGAATGACTGTATGCAGCATTACCAATACTCTTATTTTGAGACAAAACCACAATACAAAATCTTGTAAAAATTCAAGCAGTAAAGTTAATCGACTAATACTGTTCCCTTCACATGTGTCTATAACATTCAAATACACATTTTATGAAAAAACAAACAAAAAAACATTACAAAATTACACTAAATATTGTTCATGAAAAAAAAAATACCATGATGAACTGTGCAAAGGGAAATATATGACTTTTCTTTCTACTTTCTAGCCTCTTTATCTGATCAGACTGATTTTAAATGTTTGAGCAGCATAACAATAAGTCAATGTTTTACTGGTTAGTACTGGGACGATTCCTTTGGTACCATCCATCACCAAAAGTCAGGTTGTGTGACATTTTAACAATAAAAATGTAACTAAAAGGCTGTATACAATACAGCAAAGTAAACAAAGCTAGTATTCCATTCTGAACATAGTCATAACACTGGCCACTATTTGACTAACACTAACATGCAGTCGCTGCACACTGATAAATTGATATCTGGTATATTTCTAATTTTATATTTAAAAAATGTATAATATTCATAAACAACAGTTTTTGTACTTGATAGTGCTAAAAATGGTCAATCCTTAACATAACTTAATCCTTTAAAATCCCATGTTTTAGAGTAGAATAAGAACTTGAAATGAGAAATGTTCTGAGTGATTTTCATTCACCTTAGAAGGTTAAAAAACAGTTGGGTTTCTTCATCTGAAAAGCATGTCCGCCCACTTTCCCACTCCGACTTCAGAGGGTTGTAGTAATAATGAGTTTGAGAATCATCAGCAGCTTTGGATGCTGGGGTGTCACTTCCCAGAAGCAATCCAGAAACATCACAGGGCACTTTCATATGTCACCGGTGTCCCTGATGCAGACAAAGCACCTTGACTGACAGCTGTAATTCAGAAAATGACAATTAAAACAATACACACATTTAATACAATGAAGAATGTTTAGTACTATGCAAGTCTCAGATTTCAGTTACATAAATCTATGTACATTTTGGACGATTTATTTACATGTATATGTTCCTGTAAAGATTTTAAACATTAAACGTTTTTCAAAGAAGCCTTTTATGCTCACCAAGGCTGAAAGATAAAGTAAAAACAGTACTATATTACTATTTAAAATAATTGTTTTATATTTTAATTCATTTTCAAATAATGTATTCCTGTGATGACAAAGCTGAATTTTCAGCATTATTACACCAGTCTTCAGTGTCACAGATACTGTGTGCTAATATAATTTTTGCACAAATCACAGGTTTATGAATTTGAAGCAAACTGGATCTACTGGTCTTAATTAAAGGGGCTGGAGCATTTTAATTACACATTAACACATTAGCAAAATTGAGAGGCTGCGTTGTACAAACGATAAAGCGAATGCAGAGTGACACAGGACAAAGGGTGACCTAGCATGCAAATTCTCCAAGCTGTGGTGATACATTTCCATGTGCATCGCATGTGGCTTGTTTATCAAAATATATTAGTTGTCATCCACATTGTGTGACATACATCATATTCAAAATATCATCTTGTATATATATCCAAAAATCTACAAAGTCAGCAAACTTTTATCCTAACCATCATATCTAATATCTTTTGTTTTTGAGCATGTGAATTGTGTAGATAGCAGCTTAACGCCCACTAACACACACTGACACACCACAAAAACAATGTTTGGATTTGGTCACGATTGTCAACTATTTAGCCACAGTCATTCATGATGCATTGAGAATTGCCATTGTGGTGATGAGAAAGTTTTATCTTGTATTTGATCACCTTTTTCAATTTCTGTCTCTGAAAACAACTGTTAGACCAACCTGAAAAGCACTGTTAATTTCAAATATATATTGTTTTTGTTGTATACATGTTATGTTTGTGTTATGCATGTTAAATGTTAAATGGATCCAATCCATGTTCATTGAAGATGATTTGATGATGTGTTATAACATGATCCAGAAATAAACCTAGCTAATATATCTTAATGCATGCGTTTTTGAACTTTCAGTTCAGTCATTAGGATAGTTATCCTAAAAGATGATTTAATCATGTATTATTTACTTGCAAGAATGTAGCCCCTGCCAAAATAAAAATAATACACTAGTCCAACATTAGGCACCCCTCCTCCTCCTCTAGCCCACGCCAGCGAGCGAACGCTGGACCAATATTGATCCTCGTCTGGCCTTTGATACTATCACTCTCCCCTTTACTCTTTCTAGTCTCCTCCGACAAAACCTTCGCCTTCTGGATGAAGGGATGCCGTAAAGCAGTCGAATTTTGTAGTTCCTTTTGTGCTCGGTTACTACCCGAACCCCGAAGTTACATAGTGCCAGTAAAAGCGATACAGACCCCGTCAGGCTATGGCAGACATGTCATTCAACCTATTGTAAGTCGATGTACCATCACAAGGGTTTTGAAAATATATATTGAAGGTTGAAAAACTACATAGTGTTTCTTTAATGATGCTCAATTAATAATAATAATAATAATAATTCATTACATTTATATAGCGCTTTTCTCGGCACAGAAAAAGCGCTTTACATAGAGAGGGGAATCTCCTCAACCACCACCAAATTGCAGTAAGGCCCAAGCAACAGCCTGAATCGCTGATACAAGACAGGGTTGCATGTTGTTTACACCAGATTCTGACCAGGCTATGTTTTTCCCATCTTTTTGGTACAATTTTAGGTTAGCCTTTGTGAATTGTAGCCTCAGTTTCCTGTTGTTAGCTGACAGGATTGGCTCCAGTGTGTCTTCTGCTGCTGTAGTCTTGATCTGCTTCAATGTACGCGTGTTCAGAGATGCTCTTCTGCATATTGTAGCGAGTGGTTATTTGAGTTACTGTTGCCTTTCTATCAGCTCAAACCAGTCTGGCCATTCTCCTCTGACATCTGGCATCAACAAAACATCTTCACCCACAGAACTGCCACTCAGTGGATATTTTCCCATTTCCAGACCATTCTCTGTAAACCCTAGAAATGGTTGTGCGTGAAAATTCCAGTAGATCAGCAGTTTCTAAAAAAATTCTCAAACCAGTCCACCTGGCATCCAACAACCATGCCACTGTGAGATTACAAATTTAATTAATATGTTAAAGTCTGAAAACAGTAGGAATTCCCAGTGTGACCCTCCTGATTGTCCTTTGACCACACGGGAAAGCCATGCTTTTCCTGTTTCTCGTCTCACCGTGTGAAAATGCCTGTTTGAAGTTAGAACAGCTGCTACTGTATGTTAATGTCTGAGACCATTTGCCTTGGAAGTTGGAGTTCCAGGGTCACATGCATTTCCATTTGCTTTGTTTCAGTGTCTCCACCTTTAGGTAATCCCACCCTCTTTGAAATGTATAAATTAGAATGTAAGGTTCTTTTAAATCAGACTATCCTTGAGATGACTACAGCGACGCAATAAAGAACTTCTGTGTGAAAGATACCTCAAGAGTCTCCTGGTCTGTTGCGTGGAAGACTAAAACTTCACTACACCACCTTCAAAGTCACTTAAATCACCTCTCTTTCCTATTCTGATGCTCAGAACTTCACCAGATCGTCTTGACCATGTCTACATGCCTAAATGCATTGAGATATTACCATGTGATTGGCTGATTAGATATTTGCCTTAACGAGCAGTTGAACAGTTGTGTCTAATAAAGTGGCCAGTGTGTGTGTGTACAAATATCTCACCCCACTCAGGGTTCTTTGGTTTCTGCAGGAGTCGAGGGCCGAGCAGGCTGATGAGAAGCGCTCCAATAGGAGCAGTGATGAGAATGGACAGCACAGCCACAGTGAGGACATCCATGCCATACTTCTGCAGCTCAAGGTCATTCTTGGAGCGTGCCATGTCAAGAGCTGTAGAGCCTATGGCAGCCTGAAACCAATGACATAACGGGATTGCTCTGTAAGGAGGAACTTACAAATGCATTTCATTTTTATTTGTCATTTAGCTCACTCTTGTCCAAAGAAACAGAAGGAATGGGTGCAGGATAAAGACAATAAAACAAAAATAAAATGGAAGTTCTATTTGTTAAACTAGGCAATTTTACCTGAACAGTGGCTTTCGGCATCCAGGCTACAGCGATAAAGATTTTCTCTTTCAGGTTAAAGTCAGCTCTCAGTACCGAAACAAAAGTGATGAGCAGCCGTACCGTGAGTGCGATGAGCAGAGCTGCTATACCCAGAACTGAGGACATATTACATTAGAGAAGATCAACTGCATGTTTAAAACACTACATATGTGCATACAGTATGTGCTTACATAACACAGTCTCATCCCAAAAAGTCATATAACTGACGTCTTGGGGCGTATTTTGACCATACGTCAATATCCGCCTTTTTAGGGCCCAGAAACTGTCTGGTTATTGATATTCTTCCAAATATCAGAAAATCGGCTGAATGGATTCGAAAACGGTGAAACTCAACTGTTTAACTCTGGGGGAGTTGTAAAATGAGCCTATTTCCAAAAAAAGTGGAGTATCCCTTTAAGCCCTGCTTTTAATCCTGTATAACCCTGAATATCTCACACTTGCAATCCAGAAGTGGGGTTATCAGGTATTTTTTACCCATTGATATGAATCCCTTTACCAATCCATCCAGAGCTGGTTTGGCAGGAAATGTATGAGCAAAGTGAAGCGTGAAGCAAGATAACCCAAGATTCTGTTTACCTGAGGTTTAGAATGACTTGAATGGGTTAAAGGGATAGTTCACAAAAAACATGAAAATTCTGTCATCATTTACTCACCCTTAAGTTGTTCCAAATTTCTTTCTTCTGCTGAACACAAAAGAAGATATTTAAATGAATATGGATAACCAAACAGTTGATGAAAAAAAATAACTATGGACTCAAGTGTTTGATTACCGACATTCTTCAAAATGTATTTTATGTTCAGCAGAGGAAAGAAATTCATACAGGTTTTGAACAACTTGAGGTTGGGAAAATGATGATAGAATTTTCTTTTTTGTGTGTGAACTATCCCTATCCTTTTCAAGTGTTTCCAAATCATCTCTGTTACTAAAACATCTCAGACACTCACACACAGTCGTGACCTCCAAAGTACTAATCACAATCTCGGCACCAATGAGACCAAAAAGAAGAGGCTGGAACACATGCCAAAACCTTTCCACCACCTCCTCCACGGGTGCCTGTAACACACATACACAGAGATTTAAAATATGTGATCTTAGAAAATGTGTTGTCACACTCTTATATATTTTTTAATTCTAATACTTAGCATTGTTGCAAAAAATGTGAGCGTGTAATATATATATATATATATATATATATATGAATGAGAAAGTAGTCAAAACTCCTCTTTCACATCTATTTTTCATATTTTAGTAAAAAATGTGTGTTTGGGAGAAGAGATTCAGACCTTATTTTTTCCCCAGCCTATTCCAGCCACAAACGCCAGCACCAGTGTACAAAGACCTCCTGCGCCAGGAATCCCGGCCACATTACTGCCAAACAATGCAAACACAGACAGCCCCAACACCAGAAACGAACGTTTCAGCACAAGGTTTCCCTATGTGGAAAGACAAAACACACAAATCATGAAACCTGTTACCCCTGACAACATAAACCCCACATCAAGTTTTGAATTCAACATGACCTACATAATCATCTCACGTACCTGGTCTCTGCTAGGGAAGTAATGTAGAAAGTACCCTAAGACCACACCAGTGACCGCACCACCTAACACCTCCAGTGGTCCTCTCAGCACATTTAACCACACGGCGCCTGCAGAGGGCAACAGAGAGCACTCATATAAACAGGACCTCTAACAACAAAGAAATCCATAAAACCTGGGCTGAGTTCAAAATGTATATCCATAAATAAGGAACAAAAATTTGTAGTGGTGTCCAAAACCATAGTGGATGTTATCGAGGGCACTCATTCAATCCCACAATGCACCTAAATAACCAGTGTACAACCAATGTACACTAGATGGCTAGAGAATACCCATAATTTGTGAGTCACGTAAAAAAAAATGAATTCCAGCGTCTCGCCAGAAGACGGATCATCCATCTATTTTCCAAAACACTGGTCCAATGTGGGTACAGCATAATATCAAACAGGTATAAATACCTTTTAACTGATTATGATATTGTTTAATAATGATTTATATGCATAGTTCTCATGATCTTTTCATCACTACTGGAGCTTCAGTTTGCCCAAATGATTATTAAAAAGCAAGCACAAACTACACAAAAGCAGCAGCCCTTTCGGCGCACTAAGCGGCCAAATTTGCTCACTTGTTTTGTTTAAGTGAACTATATCAGTGGACTAATGTAGGGAATAGTGAGTGAGGGTATAATGGGCGATTTCAAACACAGCCCTGGAGAAAGGACACTATCAGTTTCTAAAAAACATGTTCAGAAACATTTACATTTGTATGTGTTAATTTACAAAATGTACAAATACATACACTATTAAAAGTGTGGGGTCAGTTGTCATATTTGAATCCATCAAATTGTTCAAAAGTGACAGCAAAAACATTACTGTTTGAAAAGATCTTTCTACTTTTCAAACACACTGAAAAAAAAGTAACATGGAAAAAAAAATGTATTCTATGCTTTTTTTTTTCTGATCACCAAATCAGCATATTAGAATGATTTCTAAAAGGATCATGTGTCCAATGCCAGCACAGGAGTAAATGACATTAAATTTTACTTATTTATTTATTTTTAATAAGAAAAAGTTTACAATATTACTGTTTTCCTTTGTTTTTAATTAAATAAAAACAGCCTTGGTGAGCATAAGAGACTTTTCTTTCACAGCTATTTAATACCAACCCCAAACTTTTGATTGGTAGTGTGAATACAAAGTCTTAGAATGTAGCATAATGTTGTCTATCCTAAACATGTTCTGTGTGTCTAAAAGCTCTTTGAATTCATTTTTAACACTATGTGGTTAAATTATTGATATCATGTCCAAAATCTCTTGCTGTATTCACTTAATTTAACTTAGGAATATCATATATATGCTACATTTAGTCTTTTGGCATACCTGTGGCGAAAGCTATGCCCAGGCAGGTGGTGAAGCAGGTAATGGCAATGATGTCATCAATGCTGCATGCTGCCATGAGAAGAGTAGGTATACCCTGCTCTAAACCGTACCCATCCTTATGCAGAAGCAGCATGGACGGAACCACAACAGCAGGAGAAACAGCCCCGAGAACAAACCTACAGAGCAAAAAATCAGAGCTATTGAGTTGGTAGCAGCAGACCTTTCAGAGGTTCTTATCTTACCAGAAATAGCCGTTTACCCTAAAATAAAGCCCCAGATCCATGGAAGTCCCAGTATTAAATAGGAGACCACAGCCATAGTAGCTGCCTCGCAGGTGAGAGGGAACATGGACAAACGTAAACACACAGCTTTCAGCTTCTTCAGAGCCTGAAACACACATAAGTATTATGTTAATACAAAACAATTTAGTGAAACCATTTTGTCTTACAGTACAACCTTCATTAAAGGAGTATTTCACTTTTTTTTATAAAAAAAAACTTTTGCTGATAATTTACTCACCCCCATGTCATCCAAGATGTCCACTTCTTTCTTTCTTCAGTCGAAAAGAAATGTAAGTTTTTGATGAAAACATTCCAGCATTTTTCTCCATATAATGGACTTCAATGGGAACCAAACGGTTCAAGGTCCAAAAGACAGTTTCAGTGCAAACTGCAAACTGTTCAAAGGGCTTTAAACGATTTCAGACGATGAATAAGGGAACAAGCGAAACGATCGCTCATTTAATAAAGTAATAAAGTTTAAGTTTTATAAGCATCAAAACTAACAAATCTTTTTCCGAGTCAATTTGTTCGTTTCGTACATTGAATGAACAAAATGACTTGGAAAAAGATTTGTTCATTTTGATGAACGAGTTCGAACATGAGAGTCACAAACATGCGTCAAAGAACAGAGGAAGGCGACCATTTGAGCTTATAAAAATTACATTTTGTTTTTTATTTATTAAATGAGCGATAGTTTCACTAGATAAGACCCTTATTCATCGTCTTAGATCGTTTAAAGCCATTTGAACAGTTTGCAGTTTGTCTTTTGGACCTTGAACTGTTTGATTCCCACTGAAGTCCATTATATGGAGAAAAATGCTGGAATGTTTTCATCAAAAACCTTAATTTCTTTTCGACTGAAGAAAGAATGACATGGATATCTTGGATAACATGGGGGTGAGTAAATAATTATTATGGTTTTTTAAAAGTGAACTACTCCTTTAGATGAAAAATGTATGAGTATGAAGGCAAATCTTCTCAGGCCGATCCAGTTTCCTACCTTGCCGTCTAATTGCAAACCAGCCTTGACCAGAATGACACCCAGGGCGATGTTCCTCAGAGAAGCGGACCATCTAACATCAATGTAAACAGCGTCTGTCACCACAGGGATGTTTCTGAGGATAAAGCCTGCCAGCAGCATGCCTGCGGATACACACAGAGTGAAATAACACAAACTGAAATCCCACAGTTTTTCATAACACTGACAATGAACCTGACCACTTTGTCAATACAGGAAAAAAGAATAACACAATTTGTTTATCTTTGAGCTGAGGGGAAAATTAAATTATACACTACCGTTGAAAAGTGTGGGGTCTGAAGAGTATTTAGAGTTAAAAAACACAAAACAAAACTCATATCAATTGAGGCTGCATTCTGTTTTAAACAAATATAAAGAAAATAATATTGTGAAATGTATATATATATATATATATATATATATAATTTCAGCAGGTATTACTCCAGTCTTCAGTATTTAACTGTGAGCAAAATTGGAATATTGCATTAAACATTTGTAAATAAAGCAGTGTTTCAATCCCATGTGTTTGAATGAACAAACTTTTCTAGGACATTGGCGCAAAATATCTGTAATAAAATCAGAAGTTCCTGCAAACGAAGATGTCTGTGGCTCTTTTTTTGTACATTATAAATGACTTACACATGACTTGTTATATTGCGTTCGGAGGCAGACACCTGATGCCTGTGATTACAGGGAGGTAGTGTAACTATACCCAACTATTTTGATGACAGACTTTGGCTAAGGTGTTTCAGAATAACAAAACAAAACCAACTTTTTTGATGCTGTGCAAATTACAGTAAATCAGCTGGTTAGTCCAGAGTTTGTTTGTTTTTGCACATTGAGGGATTTATTCAGTAAATGTGTTTCCATCATAGTTTATGCACATTACTCCTTTTTGGATCGCCTCACCTGAGCAAAGATACGTTTGTATGCATATTTATGGAATTTATACACATTTCCATCCAGCATTTTTTAATGCGATAACCCAAAATTCATGAAATGAAATGATGAAAACATAACTAGTGTCACATGATTTTGTGCTCATATCACTGTTTAAAACAGTTGTGATGCTTAATATTTTTGTGGAATCTACAATACATTTATTTTAAGATTTTTTGATAAATAGGAAGTTCAAAAGAACAGCATTCATTTGAAATAGAAATCTTTTGTAACATTATAAATGTCTTTACAGTCACTTTTGATCAAAATAGTACATCCCGGCTGATTAAAAGCGTAATGTCTTTTTAAAAATTTTACTGACCCCATACTTGCACATGTTAACTTTCAAATAAGTAGAAGATTCAGTAGTAGAAATTCAGAATTAAGTTTCTTATCCAAGTAAGCATCAGAAAGACTTTTTTTATTCACTATGGAAATATTGTGATTTATAAAAATTACAGGTAGTATACAGTATATTCTGTGAAGTATGCAATAGCTTAAATTTCCATCCTCAACATAGACATCTTAAGATGAGGTTACATTTACCAAAACTTTACGGACAAGATCTAGTCATTTCTATATTAATCTGTGCAATTGTAGTTTTTCGTGAGGGCACTTCACTACTGACCACGGAAATTGTAATAATGTGGCATCACCTTAAATATGTTAAGAAATTGCTCATACCAAGAAGGGGAGGTAAAGGTGGTAGGTTCGGCAAGTGTATGCGTCCAAACAGCTTTCCCCCGGCTACGGAACAAATAAACAAGGTCACGATGCCAAAGAGGTTTCCGCCTGGGAGACATTCCTTCTCTGTAATGGACCACACCACCCCAAAGAGCACTGCGGCCATGGTCACTGCAAGAACAAACAGATACTGGGTTCAATCTACCAGCAGATAACTTAGTAAACCTAATACATTTTTATCTACAATACACCCACTGTTCAAAAGATTGGGGTCAGTAAGATTATTTTTTAAAGAAATTACTACTTTTATTCAGCAAGGAAGCTTTACATTAATCAAAGTTAGGGTAGGTAGGTAGTTGATCCGAACAGACTAACCATCAATTCAGTACTCGTGCGCTATTATCTGTGAGGATAGCCGCACACACACCCGGAGAGCTCTTTCAGATCTCTGTGCGCTTGAACGGACACATACACGCAAAATGGTATCAAAATACCCACCTCGGCAAGTAAGTATTGTTGTAAACAGTCGGTAAAGTCTTAAGTGAACATAAACGGTTGAGAAATAAATCGAATGTGTATCATTATACTGGATCCGTGCATCTGCTCTTAAAGCGACAGTAACCTATAAATGACAGCAACCCCCCTGCTGCTGTCATTATTAATGTTACCGTATTTTTCAGACTATAATACAATGTTTTTTTCTTAGAAATACATCTGAAAAAACAGGTTTGTCTTATATTCAGGGTTTAGAATTGCCAGTCAATAATACAGCCGCAACTATAGGTGGCGCCAAATACATGTAAAAGGAGTGTGCCAAGAAATTCAGTGTCATGTTAGAAGATCGCGACGCGAGTGCAAAAAGACAATCACAACAGTCAAAGAAAAGTTTGCGTCGTTTGTCATGTTTGCGTGCCTCGCTGACGGGACCAGACTTCCCCATATATGATTTAAAATGATTTCAAAACTAATAAGATTTCACTTATTCTGAACAATTTTGGTAGGCTACTTGGTTTTCACTATGAGATAGTTAGCCTAATTGTTAGCTTAGTTTTATGGTATGCCAAAAAGTTTATTTTTAAACGTGATCGTTAGTACATTTGACCAGTATTTACCATACTTTCAATACAAAAAAAAAAAAGTGAAAAATATGCAGTATGAAAATTATTTTCAATTAAAAGCATTTTTTCCAAAAAAGGTGCATCGTCGTCTTATAATCAGGGTCGTCTTATACTTAGAACAACATGGTTTTTATATTTACTGGATCTATGCTTGTAATTAGTGTATTTGATCTTTTTTTTTTAATGACTGTTCACTTGTCTTTAATAATGTCTAAACCTTATTAGTTAGGCTAGTAGTTTTTGTGGTGGTATTAAAGTACGTAAAGTGTGCTTTAAGTAATAAATGGAAAGCAACGTTACATTTGATCAAATAAATGTAGTCTTGGTGAGCATAAAATATTTTAAAATATATATTTTTTTTTAAACTTTACCGACCCCAACATTTTTGAATGGTAGTGCACATGCAATCTCTACCATGAGGTTTTGGAAGATTCTAGACTTTGTTCTAACCTTTGGTGATAACTGCAGCCAGCAGGCCTCTGGGTGGGCACGGGCATAGTCTGCGGAACCATGGGCAGTATTCGTATGGAGGGTCTGTGTTGGTGTAAGCGTCAACTGAAGACACCGGTCGTGGGACATACGCCGTCTCCTCAGTCATACTCAGATTGGGGCTCTCTGGGCGCTTCGGAACCACGAGGACTGTCTGATTGACAATAAGGTGATGCTGTATGAGAAAATGAAGAGTGAAAAGAGAAGCAGTGTCTTAGTTGCAACATTCATTTATTTGAAGTCAACAAGAAACGGAAGTTGTCATACTCTTTCTTTCCCTATTGTGACGTATATACATGTCCTTACTATAGAGTTACGTTTAGGTTTTGGTTTAGATACTTGTTATTATGCATAATTTACTGTTATTACTAAAGTAAGTACATGTTGTAACGTGTACATCACCTTAAAATAATGTGTTACCGAAAAGATGTTATTTGAATGTGGAAGGGGAAGTTATTTTGAGTAGATAATGAGGGTACAAGTTGTAGTCATTAGTAAAAATACTGCAATAATTTTACCATAAAAATAAGAATTGTCAATTTTGATTTCATGGTGATGTAAACCTGGACATAAACAAATGATTTTTTGGGGGAAAGGATGAAAAATTAAAACAACAATAAGTTAATATAAAAAATACATTATTTTTGCTAGACTGCTGTTATTAAAGGGGGACATACCAAAATATTAAACATGCCAATGTTATATTTTGTAAAAAAAAAAAAAAAAAAAAAAAACTCAAAGTTTGTTTCCAGTCAAACAAACTTTATGCTGACAAATATGTAAACAACATATTGGAATTTAATTAAAAAAAGTGCAATATAGAATAATATATTGTCAACACTCACAGTATTTTCTTATTCATATTTGAAGGTACATAAATTGATTCAAAAGCATTAGAATGTTTGTTAATTATCTAAATTAAGGTTATTAAAGTCTTAAATCTTTCATATTGTCTTGAGATCAGCTGTGAGGATACATAACATGTCGGCTAATAGATAACAACAATAAAAGGCAACTCTCCCATTCCATAGAACCAATTTTACAGCAAAATAGACAGCATAAAGTGGGGAAGTCTGACAAATAACCTACTTCAGCATGATTTCCCAGGGCGGATGGTGCATCCTCAGTCCTCTGTGAGTATGTGGAGTACACTGAATGAGGTCTGGACTGGGCATCCTCCATGGCACTACTCTTCTGCTCTATCTTCGCTCTAGTCTTCCAGCCATTGCTGGTGCTCAAGACCGACTCCTGTTCATTAAAACTTCACCTGTGTAAATAATAATAAATAGCTATTACTACATCAACTTATCGATAAATCCCGCTAAGGTGTAATCAATGAGGAAATAGCCCCGAGTAACGTTACTAGGAGGGAAAAGCGACTGGTTTGTTCAACAAGTTAATCGGATTGAAGCAGGACTAAACGCGACGCCTGGGCCATATGGTGGTTTATCAGACTGAAGAGCGCGTGGCATATGGTCTCTGTTTATAAGACTGTAGTAAACCACTCACTGAACATCTGAGCACCATAGACATTACAACGTGTTAAGTCAATTTACACACTATATTCTTCAAATGGTCCACTAGTATGGTGTCATTTTATTCCCCCTAGAGACATTGTCTTTTCATATGTGATGATTATAATTGTTGTAATCAAAAATAAATCAGTTGACTGACATGAAATGAAACAAAATCTCATGCTGAAGTGTATAAGTATGTCTTCAAGTGATTAACCGGAACGTGGAGAGCACTACACATACAATAACACATAATACTGAAAATATAGGCGCTCGCGCTTGATCGCAAAATGCGTGGAATGGATACATTTAATAAGATTAATCTTTTACCCGGCGGAGGCATCCGGAAGTATGTGACCGTTGTTTTACCGTTCGTCAAACCCAAAGAAATAAAATGATCCAATCAGGCTATCTTCACAACCGAAGACAGCCCCTTTTCTGACAAGTCCCGTCTCCTGCGGAACATGATTGGCTAGATTTGACAACAACTGACCAATCACAAGCCGTCTTCAAAAAACTTTAGTTTATTATGATCATTATGATCCCCTAATCATGCGGCATCCACGACCTGAACCTGTTCTGAACATATATAAATGACACGAAATAAAATAAACCAGGGGATTAATAAAAAAAAAAAAATAAATAAATGGCCGGATTCACAGACGAGCTAGACCCCGACTAAAAAATGCATGTTTGAGCCGTTTTTAGTTAATAGCGACTTTCCTTGACATACATTATATGTTAGTGTCATTATTTCGTCAAAATGTAAACAAGAAAGGTTTTTTTTTTTTTCTAATGCATGTTTATAAAAGCTACTTAACTGCCCTAAATGAACTGGGCCTAATCCTGTCTTAAACTAAGCCCTGTCTGTAAAACCAGACCTAAGAGTTTCAAAGATTATTCTGTTAAATTATTGTTTTTAATTATAGGTTTCAGTTAATAAAAAAAAAGCACACACACAAGACATGGTTTACAATTCTTAACTTTGAATATTGATTAAAAATTCTAAAAGAAGATTGTAATTGACAATCATTTAATTACATTTGGCCTATTATATTTGTTTCCAATTAAAAATGGCAATTCATTTTTAAACCAAGCAGAAAATTGTAAGATGTTCAGCAATAAGTGAACTACTTGAACCCAACACGACCTATTAGGAGAATAATTTGTAGTTTATAAACTGTGAGGCTTTTAATGTCAATGGCTAAGAATGATTCAATACATATTAAATGCAATCAAGACATGGATTCACAGGACTCAGGAAGAGCCCACAGCAGCATTAACTTTTTAGATTTTGAGTGATAAAACATCCTCAGAGTCTCCATCCTCCATCAATGATGGCTTCTGTTCCTGTTACGTAGGCAGACTGCAAGAATAAAAATTATTTTTAAACTTGAAAGCATTAATAATAAGTGTAAAAAGCCATATAAATATCTAAGTGAGCAGTAAAAAAAACATCAGTACCAAATGTTGGGTCTTAAAATGATATCAGGGAAAAGAAGAAGGTACAATGGTCAAATACTCACCTCATCTGAGGCCAGGTACACACACAGATGTGCCACTTCCTCTGCCGTGCACATTCTACCAGTCTTCTGTCTGGCCATGAAGTCTTTAAAAGCCTTAGAGTTGAAAGACAGGAACTGTCAAAGAGACTGAAAGACTGAACAGTGTGCTTATATGATTAACACAGCTGTTGGTTAGTGTTTTACTGTTCGTGTAAAAATAAAAAATGATTTTTATATTCAGTCAGGCAAAAAAAAAAAAAAAACTACATTAAAATTCTTCATTGTTCGCTAATGCCAAAAAAAGGAAAAAGAAAATTATTTTCAGAGGCGCATTGTAAAGGCACAGACACAATCATTCTCAGAGGTTTGCAAAGAGCAGATGTGTCATGGCCGTTGGATTACAGAATCCAAATTCATGGTGGAAAACGTTTTTACAATTTTTACAGCCCAATATTTTTACATTTACTCATGCATGCATGCATATACACTCACATAAAGGATTATTAGGAATACCATACTAACACTGTGTTTGAACCCATTTCGTCTTCAGAACTGCCTTAATTCTACATGGTATTGATTCAACAAGGTGCTGAAAGCATTATTTAGAAATGTTGGCCCATATTGATAGGATAGCATCTTGCAGTTGATGGAGATTTGTGGAATACACATCCAGGGCACAAAGCTCCCGTTCCACCACATCCCAAAGATGCTCTATTGGGTTGAGGTCTGGTGACTGTGGGGGCCATTTTAGTACAGTGAACTCATTGTCATGTTCAAGAAACCAATTTGAAATGATTCGAGCTTTGTGACATGGTTCATTATCCTGCTGGAAGTAGCCATCAGAGGATGGGTTCATGGTGGCCATAAAGGGATGGATATGGTCTGAAACAATGCTCAGATAGGCCGTGGCATTTAAACAATGCCCAATTGGCACTAAGGGGCCTAAAGTGTGCCAAGAAAACATCCCCCACACCATTACACCACCACCACCAGCCTGCACAGGGGTAACAAGGCATGATGGATCCATGTTCTCATTCTGTTTACGCCAAATTCTGAACAGAAATCGAGACTCATCAGACCAGATAACATTTTTCCAGTCTTCAACTGTCAAATTTTGGTGAGCTCTTGCAAATTATAGCCTCTCTTTCCTTTTTGTAGCTGAGATGAGTGGTACCCAGTGGGGTCTTCTGCTGTTGTAGCCCATTCGCCTCAAGGTTGTGCGTGTTGTGGCTTCACAAATGCTTTGCTGTGTACCTCGGTTGTTATTTCAGTCAAAGTTGCTCTTCTATCAGCTTGAATCAGTTGGCCCATTCTCCTCTGACCTCTAGCATCAACAAGGCATTTTCGCCCACAGGACTGCCGCATTCTGGATGTTTTTCCCTTTTCACACCATTCTTTGTAAACCTAAGAAATGGTTGTGCGTGAAAATCCCAGTGACTGAGCAGATTGTGAAATACTCAGACCGGCCTGTCTCTCACCAACAACCATGCCACGCTCAAAATTGCTTAAATCACCTTTCTTTATAAAGAGTAACTAACTGAGCCGATAAAGAGTAACTAACTGCCATTATGATTCATGTGTGAACCGCTTCAGTCAGCTGGCTGTTACCTATCTTTCCTATGAGCTCTCACATAAAAAACTGAGTTTTGCATTTGTAAAAAAAACACCTTTTTTTTTAAATTACGCCAACAGCTTTAGATTACTGTCACTTGGCTGTGTAGCACAATGTCTTTGTAATGGGGAAGCAGTACCTGCTCTGGATCAGGTCTAGCCTGAATTCTCCCACGTAAAGATGGAGTATCTACAGTTCCTGTAGAGTTCAAAAGTTCAAGAGAAGCAAAATGACCCATTTAATCATTAGATACAGAGGGAATCAATAGAGGGAAACAATCAATAAAGTAGCTTACCAGGGCAGACACAATTGCAGCGGATTCCTTGCTCCAGGAAATCAGCTGCCACTGATTTGGTCAGTCCAATGACGGCAGCTTTAGATGTGCTGTAGACACATCTGTTAGCAACTCCTGGACATGCAATTAAGGATGAGCAATTAGGAGAGGGCAAACTTCATTTGACCTGGCATTTATCCATACATCAGCCAAGTTACAGATAATGAGTGTAAAATAATATGGCAAGAGCTACATAGAACAATGTCAATCACCACATGTAATTAAGAGCAAATGGCCAAAACTCGATATACAACATGATTTATTACAGCAGCCAATTTATAATTCAGCATCAAAATGCAAATGGGTTGCAACATAATATAATATTTACCTTTGATACTAGATGCCACAGATGCCATGTTGATGATATTACCAGATTTACGAGCCAGCATCTATAAAGAGAAGGATAAGGGGAATTTAGTTTAAATTGGCTGACTGGTTGAAGTAACATTCTTCAAATCAGATGACAGGATTATGTTCATGCAGAACAGATTCATAACCTGATATACATTACTTTTCAAAGCACAAAGAAATTAATATTTGAATTCAGCATGGATACATTAAACTGGACAACACTGTAAAAAAAAAAAAATGTGTTCAATTTACGGTAAAATACCGGCAGCTGTGGTTGCCAGAAATGTACCGTATAAAATACGGTAGCAAGACTTTACGGTAACAAGGTTTTACAGACTTATCTGATATAATGTTGAATTTACAATGAATAATAATAAATTATGCAATGAGTTGTTCATTTTCACTTTAAAAACTGTAAATGTAACGATATTTTAAAGTAATATTACATTAAAAAAACAGTGTTAATGTTATATTTAATATTATAATATTTTTAAATATTTCTATTTCAAATAATTGTCCTTTTGAACTTCCTATTTAATCAAAGCATCACGGTTTCCACAAACAATTAAGCAGTACAACTGTTTTCAATAGTGATAATAGGTAGGCTATGTTGGAATTACCGTATTTACAGGATGATAACGTGAAGTTCAACTCGGAGCTGCCCTTGTCCTCGAAATTATGCGTTTCTATGTCAATGCTTATCAATGCCAAAATGAATCTGTGAAGAGGTCATGTTGTGCAAGTTGTAATTACGAGTTCTACGAGGAGGTGTTGCTTTTTAAAATTCAGAATCTCGCAATTACGGTAATTCCAACATGGCGTGAACTCACCTAATAATAATAAATGTTTCTTAAGCACCAATTCAGCATATTAGAATGATTTCTGAAGGATCATGTGACATAGTAAGGTACACAAATTTTACGCATTTGACAGACATTTCAATTTCATCAATGAAGGAATAATGTTTTGTGCACATTTATGCCGTCAGAGGGATTAAGTAGTTAACTGCGTGTTACGGGTCGGCTTTGTACTCTTAACCAAAAGAACAAAAGAGATGGGGATGAAAAGAATAATCCCTAAATGTGAAGGTCTAAGGTCTAAATGTAAGAACTAGCATGTGTTCTGGTCTAATCCTAGAGAAGAGAAGGATAAGATGACCTTAGGAAGGAAGGCCTTGATCATCAGGTACATGCTACGAACATTCACATTCATGGTGAAATCCCAGTCTGATTCCTCACACTCCAGTATTGAGCCGTGATGGACAAAACTGTGAGAAAGAAAGAAGAATGAGAACCTTAATGCACTCTAAAAGAATAGGAATAGTTCACCCAAGAATAAAACAAAGTCATTCTTGAAAAGTGATTTCTGGAGGGTAATGTATTCTGAAACTAAGCAGGATAGGCTACAGTACATATAGAAACCCCATTTAATATTCATTTTTTTTGTGTCTTTAAAAGTTAGCTAAAGTTATATATTCACTGATTTAAGGAGAAAGACCAACCCAGCTACATTGAAGAGCACATCCACGTGGTCAAAGTCCTTGGCCAGGGCCTCAACTTGGTCTTTCTTGGTAACATCAACAACTTTGGTTTTGATACCTAATAAAGCAAGGGGGGAAACAACATTCCAGGAATCAGAAGAGCATACAAAAGCCTAAGGGGAGAAGCACCCTTGAACTAAAACAATTTGTTACATAATGGGATTATGTGTTAAAGCAGAGCGGTATGAGTCTGATACAGACATGCTCAAATATCAAGGAAGATGCTTGAGCAAATTAAGAACCAAACACATATGACCAGGTGTCCATCACAAAAGTTTGGATTATAAAGATATTTAGACATTTCATGTAATAACGATACAATAAAACCCATATCACACAACTCATCAAAATATAATAGAAATTAGTTAATAAAATTGGTTAACTTAAATTTGAATAATATTTCACAAGATTACAGTTTTTACTGATCAAATAAATCCAGCCTTGATGAGAATAAAAAAAAAAACAATATATATATATATATATATTCCAAACTTGTGAATAGTAGAGCATGAGCTAGATTTTGCATAGTGATGAATACAATTTTGACAGACATTCATATTCCATCCTTTTGAAGTCAAGTGCATTGGGTTCCAATCATTAAGATTTTACAGCATGTTAATTCATGAAATAATCATTGTCATTCATAATTGAGTAAATTTGCGTTGTTAGTCTAGATTCGAGTCAAAAGTCAGTTTGAGTTGATGCCTTCAGTTTAAGTTCACAGACACCTAAAAAATAGCTGGAAAAAAATATAAATATAAAAAAATATATATTTTTTGAATGAGAATGTGGGTAACCAAACAGTAAATGGGCCCCATTGACTTCCATAGTATGAGAAAAAACCATGAGGCCCACCAACTGTTTGGTTACCAACATTCCTCAAAATACATTACATACAAGTTTGGAACAACTTGAGTGTGAGAAAATGGTGACTGATTTGTCATTTTTGGGTGGACCATCCCTTTAAAGATCTAGTTTCTGTTTAGATTTTTTTCACCACATTTCCCACTAGGTGGCAATACATAGCTAGTCAATGAGTTACCTGGAATTCCATCCAGCTCTTTAAGTTTCTCCTCGTTGATATCTGTAGCCGTGACTTGAGCACCTTCCTTGGCAAAAGCCTGTTACATTTAAGAAGACTACAGTCAAAGTAAATAAACAACAACATGCATAATTAAGATGAACTAATTCTAACAGTACAAATACAAACACGCACTTGTTTCAGTGAAAGAGCAATCAGTGCGTGTTCCGAGTCTGACTCTCCGAATTCATCACACTACTACTAAACCACATGATGTTTGTTAACTTTCTCAACGTCTTTGAGTCAAGTTCATCCTCTTTACAATAAGATGGACAAATGTAATGCAATACCATGGCAGTGGGTATAAATTCATCAAACCAATTTCACCTAACAGCACAACTCATATTGAGCAGGGTTAGAGCAAACAACAGGGCTTGGGTAATATACAGTACATTTTTCACAAATAAATGTTTCAAAAACACTACAAATAAGATTTCATTTGACAAAAATATGTGCAATGGGATGCGTTTCCTCCATGTGATTTGCCAACTGGCTCAGGGCTATGGTGATTCCTCAATCTGCAGTTTCTCTGATTTAATAATCATTAGAATATTCACTTGATGTGGAAATGTATTCACCTAGCAGGTGTGCATCTTAACCACCTCTAGCGTTCTGTTGATAACATGCCATTGACTCGCAGAGATCAAATTTGCCTAAATTATCTGAAACACTGTTTTCTTCACCCCGCCCTTGATTAATTATAGCGTTTTAATAATAAAAAACTCAGGTAAAAATAGAAAACAGGTTGCAAAAGCTAGAATACTTCAACCCTCGAGATGGGTTTAACATTTACCACAGTTACTATGTCAGAACTGCACTTTACACTTGACAGACAGACTCATAAATACCATGCTGAAAGCCCTTGTATGACAAGCTTTTATTCAAAAGGGAAACCCCTCAGAGTAGCCTAAATCCATTTATTATACACATCAAAGTGGCACACTGTTGTCAATATGCCAAAGGAGTGCTGCAAACTTATAGAGCTGTAATGAGGAAGTGATGGAAGGAAAATAAATGGTTACTATTGCAGAGGCTTTTCCAATGCCTTGTGCTGCTGCAGAAAGGACAATCACTTTCCCGTCCAAACGGCCCATGTTCTTCGATAATAACCTAAGTGTGAAAAAGCATAGGTTCGTTAGTTTGATTAAATGCTAAAATATATAAAGACTGGATTATTTTTTTTTAGTCATGTTGGTTTTTAATATCCCAATGGAAGTGTTATATTCCATGAAAAGTCATGTTTATATCCCATGTTTACTAAAATATCCAGACAGTAGCCTTACGTTACCTTTTATATTCAGAATGAGCAACACGACATAACTTTACAATGCAGAGGAATGAGTTTAATGAAGAGTTATCGTTTGCAGCAAAGTTGATAATAAGTTTATGGGTCCCCGAGGCAGTGAACGATTAATCTTGGATCATAAGGATGTATTATATGACGTTAATTTAGTTACGTTTGAAAATGGGTCTAAAGCGTGTCACGTGACGAGTGTAAAGGTAATTCAGTGCAGCAGTAAGTCTAATAAATGACCGTAAATATGATAATAAAAAATAAAAAAACGCAGCTCACGCTTGAGCACCCTAGATACTTCACAATTAAAAACGCTTTAGGTAGAGCCTGCATACAACAACGAGGAAAAGTGGAACAACTTACTGTCAACTTGAACTTGTGTGCTCCAGAAAAACACACGTGATGAACGCCCCTGTCTTTCTGGTTTCAATTTTCTATCAAAATAAAAGTCATTAAAAATAGTTATTTTGTACTAATAAAAGAATGAATGAAAGTCATAAAATATGATTATTTGTTGTACGAAAAATACATAGGTTTTTTTTTTTTTTTTTTTAAATAATAATGTTACAAGATTTTATTTTATGCCTAAATGTGTTATGAGAATATTGTGGGGTTTTTTTTTAATAAATAATGGCAGGAACTGGAGATGGGAGACATATAATAAACTTCCATTTAGAATGAAACGGATGTTTATAATCATCCCAGTCAAATAAAATACAGTACAGCTCACATTCTGATTGATTAGAAGTAGTTTAAAAAAAGAAAACTTTTGCTGATAATTTACTCACCCCCATGTCATCCAAGATGTCCATGTCTTTCTTTCTTCAGTCGAAAAGAAATTAAGGTTTTTGATGAAAACATTCTAGGATTTTCTCCTTATAATGGACTTTAATGGGAACCAAACAGTTCAAGGTCCAAATGAGAGTTTCAGTGCAGCTTCAAAGGGCTTTAAACAACACCAGACGATGAATAAGGGTCTTATCAAGCGAAATGATTGGTAATTTCAAAAATAAATAAAAAAGTTTACGTTTTATATAAGCACAAATGCTTGCCTTGCTCTGTTCTGTGATGAGCGTTCGTGACTCTCCTGTTCTTAGAACGAGACATTTATATCAACATGTTTCTACCGTATAGCCGACAGCGAACAAATAGCGCTACATAAGGTGTTTCATCACTACCTTGAAAGAGAAGCAGCAGAAAGCTAGAAACACCTGAGTAGGCTATTGACTTTTCCCTTGTCAGTGGTGTAAAATATGTAGTTGGATTGTTTCATGTTCCTCGCTGTGTTTTGGCTTTGCTATGTGGGGATAAATGTGCTAGTTACGTTCGTGAGGCATCTGATTAGTACTCTTGTCATTGACTGTAAAACAGTCTGTTACAAGAATCATCAAACCGTCGATCAAGGTTGACAAGTCGATCTTGGAAGCATTTTAAGTCGATCGCAAAGAGTTTTCAAAATCAGAGAAAAAAAAACTATTGTGTGTAGTAAATGGTGTCTATGGGATGCGGAGGCGCGCGCTGTTAAAATCATGTAATTTTTGCCGCGCGCACCTTTGGGCTCATGCGGACGCGGAGTTTAAACAAGGCTTTATGCTTTAACCAGCTCAGCCACAGTAACAGCTCATATTTAGCCAGCTAAACGTTTACCCTGTTAAAAAAATAAATAAATAGTTGCATAGTTTCACATGGATCTTCTCTCTCGCTGTATTATGGGTTTTAGCCACCGTATAGCTTCTTCGAAAGGGAGGGGTGAGCAGTGGGCTGAGCCTTTAGTGCTACTCGCAACCGAACCGCTAGATGTCGCTAAAAATCACACACTGCACCCATAGGCAACCACCAAACTGTCCTAACCTTACCATTTCACTCAATAGCACCAAGCATGTTTTGCAATACATACAACATGAACATAAGTACATTGTAGGCCTACATAAAAAAATACATGTTGAATGTTATGTCCCAGATTTGATTACCTTTTTGACAAAACATCATCTTAGCGTTTTTGAACATTTTGTAGAGAAGGAAGTAGCCCCTTGACATGATTCAGTGTGTGTTTGGATTTGCTCAAGCATACCACTTAGTGTCATGATGGTCCAATCAGTGGTGTAAAAAAAAAAGTACTTCGCTTAAAGACTTGATTTACTTTTAAGAGGTGCAATAGGAGCCAAATCCAATCTAAGGTCAGCGCTTGAGCGATGCTATACATTGACCCACAGGCAAATTATTTCACTCTTAATACTTTAATGTTGAATCTATCCCATCAACCAATTCAGGGAGCTGAAATGAGTACTTTGTGATCTTAGAGGCGTGAAAATGAAAACAGTGCTGCCCGAGATACATATAAAGAGGGTCTGTGTAGTTCAATGGATGTCTTATGAAGGGTGTAGGAAACCTTTAATGGCTTATCGATCCTCCAAAAAAAAGAAAAGAGGTAAAAAAGGTTTTTCTGCCTGGGGCTTCTTTTTCTTTTCAACATCACAGGCTTGCTATTAAGCCATCCATTGATTTAAGCACATTAATAGATTTACATGAGCACACGTTACACAACAAGGGGGGAAAAAAGTGAATGAGTGCAGCTACATAAATAGCAATTGTGTAAAAAAGAAAAAGCTTACAAAGATGGTGATTCAATGGTTTATTGGCTGATTTTCTAATTAAAATAGTAGTCAAACCTAGCCATTAAACTATTATTACAGATTATAAGTCCTTTTGAAATTACTTATTTATATAACATGAATCAAATTGATCATAAAATTGTATATCAGAAAAATGTTTTGGCCACTCACTGGCCATTTTATTATGTTCACCCATAGATAGTCAAAGAAACGGACACAGCGACCCCATAGACTTCAACAGAAAAAAGTGAAGTCAATTAGAAGCACTCACTTCCTCACTTTCTCAAACTGAGCTTGATGAGATGTGACATGAGCAACCTGTCTAACAGTTGTATGTCTTCTAGTAGCTGTGCCAAGCAGAATCTGAATCATTCCCTTCCGAATCTTGCAGAGTTGGAGATTGTGAGTATTAGCTGTCCATAAGCTAGAAGAAGGAGCAACTTTACAACTCTCTATGGGCTTTTCTCTTGACTTTATGCCTCCACATCCCCCCGATTGCGTGCAAGCTTCTACTTCTGTCTATATGGTCATTTCTCTACTGTGTGACAGAGAGTTGCGTTATGATGCAATTGTTAGCCTATTTTTACAAAAACTGCTTCTACGGGGCCATAATGTCAGATACAAGGTAATGGAGCCTTTTATAATATGTAAAGTTTTTCGCTCTCAAAGTGACGCCAAAATGAATGGGAGTCAATGGAATGCTAACTGGCTTGTTAGCAGGGCCTGAAATTAACACCCGACCACCTGCCAAATGCGGGTGAATTTTGCTATTGGCGGGTAACACTGTCAATCTACCTGCCACATTGGCAGGTAGCCAATGAGAATTGTGAGTGATTCATAGGATTTTTACATTTCAACGAAGTCCGCTATTGCGTTGGACTTTAGCTAAAATGTGGCGGCACATTACTGGGGTAAAGAGGCCAGCTGAAACAAAACAGCCAACAAAAAGATGATGAGAAAAAGAAAAGTAAAGAAGACATTTTAATACAAAGTGAACAATCGGCGGCAATGGCAAGGTTCGTGAGCGGCTGATTTATGACAGCGACTGTTGTTTCGTAACGTTCATGCGATCAGAAAGAAGATGAGGCTCTTTTTCTGACTACGTGTGCGAGTATTAAACTGTTGGTGAGATGGGATGAGATAATGTAACCCGTCGCTGTTGTAGGTTAAAGTACAATGACAGTTGCACAGATGTGTGTGCGTGTGCATGTTGGGAGTTGGGAACCGGTGAGAAAATGTCCGGTACCCGGTAATTTTATCAGTAATAACAGTATCAATTTAGTTCATGTTTAACCGTTCCTGAACGCTGTAACTAAAAGCTGTTAAGAGTAAGACCTACGTGACTAAATCCGCCATCAACACAGCCGCGTGTGATTTGTTTACGAGCTGCGGTAGGTCTATCTGTTGAGTATATATTATAGCCTATACTATATGTTGTGTGTGTGTGTGTGTGTCTGTCAAAATCAAGGAATAAAAAGATTTTTTTTTTTTTTTAAATGTATGTTATTAGAGTTATTATTACTTGACAGCACTTAAATGTGTATTCTTACAAGTTAAAGAACAATATGTGAAATTCCTGGGGTTTTTTTTTTTTTTTTTTTTTTTTACGTTTATGAGGCAAAAAAAATGGCTGGTAAAAAGTCTCTTTGGCAGGTGAATTTTTAAATCCACCTGCCACAATGGCCGGTGGCCGAAAAAATTAACTTCAGGCCCTGCTTGTTAGCCAATGACGGCCCCCAGGGTGACTTCAGTTTCCGGCTGGTGGATTACCCCCGGGTTCACCTTGCTAGTGTCAGTTTTTGCTATCAGAACATGCCTTGATTCTTCCTTGCATCGAATCAACAAGGTGCTGGAATCATTCCTCAGAGATTTTGGTCCATATTGACCATATCTGTCGGCTGCACATCCATGATCTGAAGATTCCGTTCCAGCACAGCCCAAAAAAGTTATGGTGACTGTGATGTTTTAATGATGCTCAATTGGTACTAAGAAGCCCAAAGTGTGCCAAGAAAATATCCTCTACACCATTACACAAGCAACAGCCTGAACCGTTGATACAATGCAGGATGAATGCATGATTGCATGTTGTTTACACCAGATTCTGACCCTATCTCAATGTAACAGCAGAAATCGAGACTCATCAGACCAGGCAATGTTTTTCCAATCTTCTATTGTCCAATTTTGGTGAGCCTTTGTGAATTGTAGCCTCAGTTTCCTGTTGTTAGCTGACACGATTGGCTCCAGTGTGTCTTCTTCTGCTGTAGTCTTGATCTGCTTCAAGGTACGTGTGTTCAGAGATGCTCTTCTACATATTGTAACAAGTGATATTTGGGTAACACTTTACAGTGGTGTACTAATATGCATTAATTCATGCTTAACTAATGCACATATAATCATGAGTTAATGTATAACTAATTAAGAAATAACCCATTAATCAATGATTAGTGCATCAGCAACTAATAAAGAGTCTATATGATTAATAGATTAAGTAATACATGAATTGCTAATAATTCAATGTTTCATTGTGTATTAATTCCTTAATAACATATTTTATTAACTAATAGTGTAAATTCATGTGTTAATTAATTACCACAATTAGTCAAAGCTATGCATTTCAAGCTTCCAGTTGTTTGCTTTAATTAATCATTAGCTAATGATTTGCAAAGGTATGATAATGTTATGACTTTACTTGTTGAGGCACATC